CGCTTCTACTACGACTGGAACGACAGGTCTAAATGAGGGACATGTAAGTTTGATGGGAAGCATGCTGATACCACCATACTGTCGTCCACAATCACAAGTTAATATTGATTTTTTCCCAGTTCTCTAACAATCTCGAAATATCTCCTACCACAATAACTGCAAGAAATTTCCACCGGAGAACTACCTGCACTGACTGCTGCAAGATGACGTCCACATTTGCATCGAACACCAGACTGCTCTAAGGGCCTTGCAGATAGTGAATATTGAGAAGTGATAGCAGGTGGGTTAATGAGTTCTGTGAATGAGAACAGTCTTCCACCCCCACCAGCGTGAGCAGAGGTAATTCTGGATGCTTTTGCAGCAACCCTGTCTTGAGAACCGAACGCATTGTACATTGTGGTCATAAGTCGTAAGGGCTTATTGGTTGAGAATTAAAAATCTACGCGTCCTAGCGCTCCTGATGCATCAGATTCTATTGAAATTTGTTGTCGTTCTAGTTCACCGACCGTGTATTGACGATCATACTCACAGATCATTATAGGAGTTTGATTGATTATAGCAGTCATTGGCTGTTGGGAAATTAATAGCCCATCGAAACGAAGAGGAGTTCCCAATACACTTTCCATTCGTAACCAAGGTTGCGAAACCAAGAAAGACAAATTTGAGTGAATTTCTCTTAGATCACCATTCTGATTCAGACGGTTTGTGGCCTCCTGATTCAGATGTGCGCATTCCAACTTTTTCGGTTCCGATATATCGATTACTTGGGGTGCGCGATAGACATACCTTCACGTGGTGCACCCTGGACAACGTATTTTCTTACGGCAAAACAGTCTATCACTCGGCATTCGTTTTTGACTTCGATTAATTATGATTAGCTTTAAAAAAGGCTATAAGAAAAATCGCCCTCGTCAGGGCGAATCACTACGACTTCAGATCCTCCAGTGGAATGCTGGAGGAATGTCTCCGGACAAAAAGATCCAAATACAGAAAATCCTGCAAACCTATGATGTGGACATTTTCACAATTATGGAAGCTAACATTTCGGATGACAAACTGAAGTATCACCAATTCCCAGGTTACACCCTGGACAATCTACCTAAATACCGGCAAGTTGCAAGTGGAATTCTAACTGGAGTAAAAGATGGCCTCACCTCACACTAAGACCTAATTAAGAGTATGGGCTCGACACAAGACAAACGTGAAATAATCAGATTAAATGTTTGGAAATGTCAAAACCACTTCAAGATATATGTAGTCTATAATCCACCCCAGAATTGTCCAAACTTTGACTTTCTGAACATCTCACACAAAACTATAGTATTAGGAGACTTCAACGCCCATTCCACCAGATGGGGCTACAAGGATACAAACATAGCTGGAAAGGAAATTGAAGAC